GAATCCGCTTCCTCGAACCGGGAACAGCTTCGATCCCAGATCAGCCACATGCGGGAAACCATCGATCGAGTCCTGAATGTTGGCCAACAGGATCCGAATCCTCTTCCGAGAGCAAGGGATTACTATCGCCAGCATTCTGACTGCATTGGGCTTCATCATATCAACCCTGGTCATGTCGCTGAGTGGGGGTACCCCCACACCCCCAAGTGGTGGCACCCCAACACCCACTGGTGGCGTCAGAGACTGGATAAAAAAACACCTGAAATCACTCGGGGAGGCCCTGGCTAAACTTCGCTGGTAAGGCCGCCGAAGCCCTGCCCGGCATCCTGGGTAGCATCGTCTCGTGGCTGCTTAGCACGCTGGCTAAAACTGTCACGTGGCTCGTTCAAAACCTGTGGGCAGCAATCGTCGCAGTGGCGGGTGTGGTGTACGTAGCCGCTAAGGAATTTTTAACCAAATGAGGCCCAAACCAGCGCTGTTTTACGGTCGATGTGCTGCTAATTGGATTGTGGGGGTTGGGGCTGTGGGGGTGTGGGTTGAACCCTAGGCTCCGGGGATGGCGCCACCATACCCGTCTGACCGGTCGTGGGGGTGGCGTGTGGGGGACGTTGACATCGGGGTTGACCCCAAACTTTTGGTCTGCCGTGGCTACGATGATTTTGTTGTTGTAGCCCACCACTTTGTTGATTCTCAGTCGCATGTCGCTCGGAGCCATGTACAGTCCCACGTCGAACACATAGTCGACTTTAGACCGGGCGTATTCCAATATGTCTTGGTATCGACGGATGGCGCCTGGTATATCGACCGGGGCGGAGATAGCATCCTCGACGTTGGACACGAACTGTTTCTGCGCATCTAAAGCAGAACCTGTACCGATGATGCCGGAACGCGTTTGATTCTGAGCGCCCAGCACGTACGTTCGAATCGAGTCGTTCAAGCGTTCGATGCCGGCACGAGTGAACCCTTTCGACGTGTCCAGCATGAACTTTTCCCAGTCATCCGCGGGCCCCTGCTCGAACCTCCAGACTCGGTAATCCTTGCTGTTGTCGAAAGCCATGTAACGGTCATCCCACTCGTTTGTTGTGATATGATCCAACTTGTACCCCCATTCTTTCATCTTCTCGCTGGCTTCCACGAGGGGCATGTTGTGAACGATGGGGATACCCAACCCATGGTTCGGTCCCGGCAAACGCCAATCCGTCTTCGGGTTTAGTTCGAATTCGTTGCAAATGCGTTCGTAGGCCCGTCTATTGTACGGGTTGTTTACTGCGTCCCATGCTTTGTCCTGTGGGAGCGGAGCGCTGATTTCTTTGAGGATACGCCTGACCTGGTAGTACACGTGGAACGTGAACACAGACTGACTCAGCGGTCCCCGCCGAGTGTCGGTCAATGTCAAGCCACAACCAGTCGTCACACACCAGACGGCAAAATTGAGTTGATTCTGCCAGAACTGCATAGGGGTGTTGAACCAGGCGTGGACTACCTTAGCGTTAGTCACCGAAAACCTATACCTGTCAAATACATCTATAAACTGGGCTCCGAAATACAACCCAGCCGCGACCACGATCTTCATATGTGGGAAATCTATGTCCAGTTTAGGGTAAAACACTCCCAGAGGGTAAAACACTCCTGGTTTGTACATTTTTAAAGTATTATATAATGGGTATATATACTCTAACATGTCGTAACACTTCCAGGAATAACGAGCGGTGAGTCCGTTCAGCTGATGCACGCGATCGATAACACGTCGGGCCAACTCGAAGTCGCACTCTGCGATATCACCTACCTACCGCGATGCACTAACATCAACGCCAACAACAACAAGCTGTTCGTCAGTGGCGCCCGCAACCAGATAACTGACGGCTACTACAGCGTGTGCTCGCTAAGCGACGAGGTCTTCAAACCCTTGGGAGCTGAACTCAAGATAAACGACTCAAACGGCACAGTGGTATTAACCAACAACGGAATAAACCCCTTGAGGCTCGGCCGACCATTGGCGAGGACACTCGGGATGTCGCCGGACGAGATAAAACCCACAACTACCGTCACAGGCACGAAGTTACCCGACCTAGTACCGTACCGAGAGCAGTGCATTCATCTCGGTCAGCTGAGCACAACGGACAACATTCAAGGTGGTCACCCTTGCACGATACTGAGAGCCGTACCGGTGAAAACGGAGAAATACAACAATGGTAGAACCGAGTCGTTTTCACCTCGTCAGTATAAGAGGTTAACTCGGGGCAACATCCCTGAGTTGATAATATCGGTGTAGGATATAAAGCATAATCCTGTGAATATAGGATACCTCAGCATAACGCTGCACATAAAATGACCAGCGCACAAGGTCCCGGAATGAAGTTGAAAAAATGCGTCAATGTGGGGATCTCCGACCTCGGGGACACATGCGGATTCGACGACCCCGGAGTAGATGGTAAATTGTACGCCTTGCAACTGAAAAACAACATTTACAAACGCGTCGGTAGAACCCTAGGTGACATAGTAGATTCCTCAGGAGCGGCCCTCAACACTCGGTTCGCCCTAGTCTGCATTGGTGATGATAGATGGGTGGTATCCCAATCGTTCAGAGGCAAACTGTTCGACTTAGAAGATGTTGAGAGCATGACCGTCGCCCGAAACAAGCCATATACGCTCGTTTTCACCGACGATGACAAATGGGTGTTGTTACCCTCTCACGACTGGTTTCTCAACATTAGGCTTGGCTCCCCCTTCGTGTTCACGGAAAACAAAGACAACTACCTAAACAAAGTCGTGAACAACGGAACCCTGCTCGTGGCTTACGCCCCGACGCAGAGGCGTAGCATAGTCATCAGCCCAGTCTCGAGTGCTACAGCCCACATGCTATCGAATAAACCGGGAGTGCAAGACGGGGCATTGCAGTTGGTGTCTGAATTCGCTGGCGTGGTCAACATCCTGGCGAGCCTACCGGCGAACTCCACACTGGTCATCCAAGTCTACCTAGGTGAACCACAGCGCAAAGTCAAAGTCGTGAAGGGGATCAAACTCCAGTGGGGGAAACAACATCAGTATGCCGTTTGCACTGTTTACGTGCGGGTGGGTGTCGACTCCCACACCAGTCTGCAGGGGTCACCGTGACTGTGGAAGACACGATATCACTCACCACTCAAGTGCACCCCTGAGAAATTATCAGAAAAACAATTGGAAACTATCTCGTAATAGTATTATAGCAATGTCCAATCGTCATCGGCCCAACGCCACACTTAACGATCTAGGAGACACGGAGGGATTCGATCAGCCCGGTGAGGAAGACACCTTGTATGCCCTACACTTGAAAGAAAACGTGTATAGGAGGGCGGCAATCACACTCGGGGACCTAAGAGGCATAAAGGGATTCGATCAGCCCGGCGTGGACGGCACCTCGTACGCCCTGCACTTAAGAAACGGTGTGCACGTGCGGGTGCCTGTGGCAGACAACCTTATAGAGCCCGAATGGTTGATCAACATGACCCTCATCGGACCTTACGTCTCTTCAATTAAATAGACATGGATATGTCACCAAAATTAGAAACAATGGTATCTTAATCGGGTCTTTCATTACGGAAAGGGGCCCTATAGAACATCATCTAATGCCAGATCACACGGGTAACATGATAAATGGTAAACTTAACGTTTGATGTGCCCAATTCCCAATTGGATACGAAACTGGACTCCACACTCATCATAGAAGTCCAGCTAAGAGATCATGATCATTTTGATAGAGGGCATCAACTTTTACCTGGGGTGACAATACACGATGGCACCATGGGCATTCACGAACGTTTCCGTATCGCCATATACCGTGGGGCGGCAGGGAATTTCATAGCCGCCTTCACAATCCCCCAGAGGGCTCGTGTAATCACAGATTTACCCATTAAACTCTCACCTATTTCCCTGCACGAGAGGCTAAACCTTATAAGTTTCAAATATATTGAACAGAAAGTAGATTTATGGGAAACACAATTAAAAAGTAACTCATATAATATATTATAGGATGGGACTGTACCCAGTCGTAGAGGAAGTCGCGAAGACCCTGGAAACCGTAGACGGGTTCCGCTTGAGACAGTTATGTGATGTAAAACGCCAACTAGAACAAGACCGCGACACACGGAAAGCACTATGCAAGAAGTACCATAGAGCTTTCAATATCGTGGATGGAGCTGATACTGTCCTTACGACAACCAGCATGGGACTAGGGGCGGCAGGTGTTGGGTTGTTAGCCACCATCGTGGCCGCACCTATAGTGCTAGGCATTGAATTAACAGCTGGGGTTGTAGGGGTGGCAGGGTTGGTGTTTAAGTTTGCATCCCGCAGACTGCATCGTCTCATGAATAAAATATGTTTAAAACAAACAAACAAACTGCATCATAAAGCGTTGAAACACGACGAAATCAGGGTTTTGGCCGAAGCAAAGCTGAACACGGTAAGTGAGCGTATTTCCACGGCACTCACTGACAGTAAGATCTCAGAGGAGGAATTTCGTTCAATCCTCTCTGAACTTGACAAGTACCGTAAGATGAAACAAGAAATCCGGTCCAAGTCTTGTAAGTCTGCTATCAGCGAAGACGAGAAAAAAAAGTACATAGAACAAGGGGTACAAAAAGCCCAGCAAGCCTTCATTACGAACACCAAAGAGATCATAGGCGATTCACATTAAACTGTTTCCTCGAGGTCAACACGACATAGTGTCACGTGATCAGGAAAGTGCTAGTTCGCGGTCATAGTGACACAATAGTGTCACGTGTGGCCGGGAAGTTAACTGGGGATTCAAAAGTAGTATATACGATAGTGGCGAGATCTAAGGGCCTGACAAAAGCTTTATTTATGAAATAAAGCTTTACAGAGGCTTTTGTTGGACTTGTTCTCGGACTATCATTGTATATACTACTCCAGTATTAGCCAAGAAATACATAATTATCACCTTCCTGAGTGAATATATTCTGAGTGTAGGAAGAAGAAAAGGACTTTCTTTCGTTTTTACTTACTCGCTGTTTATAGACATGAAGATTTTGTGATCAAGGTATGTAAGCTGTTCAGCTATATCCAGAGCTGAAAGTGTATCAAAGTTGTCTTTGGATGGAACCTGAAATGAAATGAATCAATAAGTGACATATAGATTTTGATAAATGTATGTACACCATCTTTATAGTAACAGATCAAATACATAGGTCTAAATACTGATTAAGTTGAGGTTCAAAGTTACTGTCTGGTTTTATTATGATGGACTGACTTAAATTTAAACATTATTAATAACTGAGATCACCAATAGTAATGCACTAGGATTCAGATATAAGGAAACTACAGATATAAGCCATTCCTTTTAGTCATCAGTCCAGGAGGAGGGAGCTGAAAAATTTGAAATCGTAGCCTCCCCAGTACTGATTTTGTTTGACACTATTTTTAGTTTGTATGATGTCTTGAGCTCATGAAAAGGCCTGTAATACTCTCAGATTGTGTAATCAGTGTTTTTTACAGGCCATTACATGTGGTGGGGGTCTGTGAGCATTTTCATCACATTTGGTTTGCTGCCCGACAACACCTCAAAGTTAATCATTGATAGTTTTACTACTATCAGTCTGATCAGTTTCATTTTGACTTCTGTGTACTGCTAAAGGATGTAGAAATTATTTGACATAATTTTGTTTTAAATGTTTAATACAGTATAGGAATAGAACTAAATTTCAATAATATGGTCAATGATATGGTGAGTGAGTGAGTGAGTTTAGATTTACGCCGCACTCAGCAATATTCCAGCTATATGGCGGTGGTCTGTAAATAATCGAGTCTGGATCAGACAATCCAGTGATCAACAGCATGAGCATTGATCTGCGCAATTGGGAACGGATGACAAGTGTCAACCAAGTCAGCGAGCCTGACCACCCGATTCCGTTAGTCGCCTCTTACAACAAGCATGGGTTACTGAAGACCAATTCTAACCTGGACCTTCACAGGTCCCATTCTGACATGAAGTAACATATGAAATGAAAGAAAGTGAAAAGCAAGGTTAATTGCAAGCTTATGGATGTATCAAACGTGACTAAGAGTTATCTGACAGAACAATTTGAATAGCAACAACCAGAGCTTAGACATAGTTATCGGCCATGAAGCATAGTTTTCAAACACTTTTGGATAATGTTATTTCATCAAATATTTTAGGAGTGTAAAGCTTTGATTGACCATATCACTGAAATTTAGTTCTATACTGTATTAAACATTTGACGCCAAAGGAAATGGATTTCATATCAGTACAAATTTAGTCCTCCATTATGTATATGTAGTTAAACTACAATGTTCTTCATATGCAAGTATATACATAGTTATGACCAAATTTGCTGGGGCATTTTGTAGCTGGGACAGTTCGACTGGTACCCATGAGATAAATATTATCAAAATCAGTAGGAGATTTCACATGAGCTTAAAAATGTTTTGCTACAACGTTCTTTTCGCTTTGGAGCCCTAAATGCTGCAGTCTACCAAAACATTGCCGAATACAACGGCAAATCATGAAGTATTTGTTGCTTTCATTGTTTCCATTTTGTCCAATTACGTACGTCGGCATCAGACTCGCTATTTGTCAATAGTGTGTGCCGTGAAAGTTCTTCTGTATTCTCATTGGCTGACAAGATGTCATTCTAAGGCTATGACCGAGTACCGTTACTATTTCCATAACCAAAAACTAGGGAAACATACATTGTCCTGACTAGTATTTTATAATTCACCAGTTTTCAGGGAATAACTTATCTGTGTCGCATATATTATCCCTGCTTGACCAGGCTGGGACCTTGGATGGAGACTTGATACCTTATTAATGAGAACTAGGATCCTAATTGTTTTCAACAAAATAATTCCAGTGTAAGTTTTGTAGCAGATAATTTCTATTTTCCCCTGTCTGAAGCATATTGTTATTTTTTAAGATTCCAGACACCCTACAGTCACCCATTTGACACAAAAGGAACTGCAATCACATTTCAAAAAAATATTTTCTTAGGAACTGGTCCACTATCTATAGGGGTGGGCTTGCTGGTTGGAACTGAATCACATTTTGCTGACAAATAGTATTCTTGTTAAATGATATGGTCTATTTTTAAAATTATGTTGACAGCAAGCGGTTCCTCTTTTTCGCTTTATTCTTTTTCTCATCTTCACTGGAAGATTGTCTTGAAAGATGTAAAATCGGATCGTATTGATACGGTCTAACATCCATTTCGGAAATGACATCAGGAACATCTTTTACTGCTTCAGAATCCATTGGCACTGTTAAGTTGTGAGGTAAAATGAAAGAGGAAGCCACCAGCAACAGGCATATATGACGTCAAGTCATGTGATATCCCCTTTGCTCATTAACTGTCGGGTGTTTCCGTAATAGACAGAAATCCGAGTACTTTTTTGTGTGTTTTTATTGTGATTTTACAAACTTTTTGTTCAATTTTAATCACGGAAGGTGACTTTTAGAATGCCTTTACCCCTATCAAAAGTTTTGTTTTCGTTCGTATTCTACTTTAATATTTTAGATTTCGCATGACCTTATGTTATTAGTCACTTACAGTGACAAAGAACGTTTTACAGCAATGGCAATAACACTGTTACACGGGGTATGCCGTGGATAATCATACTTGACACTCGCTGTGTGACTCAGAAACCTATGTCATGTAACAGACAACAAAATCACTTGGACTATGTTGCATGAATAGCATGTGTATATCTGCCAAGCAGCTGCAGACTTGTCATAGTGTCATCCTCAGGCTGGCCCAGTCATTAGTTGAGGTAAGTTTACTTGTTACATCGATTTCTTTGTTTTCATTTAAAGGCTGGTATATTTTAAGCATGGCACTTACAGTAAGGGTGGAGTTGACATGTGTGCAGATTGGTAAATTGTTTGCTTGCATTTGATATTTTACAGTAGGATTTTGCAGATGGTACATTTGTTATCACTTACTTATTCATCATGGGGCCTTACCTTCAGAATACAGCACCACAAACTTTAAAAATACATCATAATACTTAACATAATTTTATGTGATTTTGTTCCAAAGCATTTTCTCCAAACAATGCCTTATGATGCCGGCAAAGCATCAAGGTTGGCCAGCTCAGTGAGTGCGTATAAGCTCCACTCACTGATGTTTCATGCCTACCAGCTGTCTTCTAGCTATGGCATTGAATAAGCCCAATGACGTTGAGAGTTTACAGTAGTCCTTTACCAGAGGATTCACAATTTTTGGCAAGCACCAGTTTATGAAAGCACTTTTACTTTAGATATATTTTATATTTTGCTGTCGACATATTTTTTAGGACTGAATAAATTATGCATGGGAACTTATATACATATAGATTGTTTTGATTCAGCAATTTGCATCATTAAACAAGAATTGAGTTTATTTATTTACATTATATCTTTTGAAGCGGTACGAAAGCATTACACATCAGCCATTTTCATGCTGCTTCGGTCAATGTGTTTTATTTATTAGGATTATTTAGAGGGGACTAGGTTAGGGTTAGGGTTAGGGCTAGAATCCAATATGGTAGGTATAGATGTCCGGTGTAATCCATGTGTACCATGCTTTGTTAGGGCTAGGGCTAGGGCTAGGGCTGGAATCCAAAATGGTTGGTATAGATGTGGTGTAATGCATGTGTACCATTTGTTGTTGTTTTTCCTTACCGCATTTCTAATACTTTTTTCACCCAAATAACGTCAAAAGTACATGATGAAATGGTTTCTTGGGATAATTGAAATTGCACTTAAGCCATTTTCACATGCATCATTTGGGAGCCTACATTTCTTCAGCAATGATTCGAAGGCTAACACATGACATGCTCATGCCTCCCTAATTTCTTAGTGCGATCCACATTATCCTTACAGTGTCCTATACAACACCTTTCTGTCACAAAGTCACCCGATGATTTATTTTAAAGCACGTCATTCATGTATACGGTGAATATGACGTCTGACGCATGACGTCAACAGCCATTTTCAGTTTGCGCCACATCGGCTCATTCCACACCACACCACATCTTGTAGATTACAGAATGAGACGAGTGTGCCAAATGGCATCAGGACCATTAGTCAATTGTCTGCAGATTCATCATGAGACACCAAGGCTACCCATAACCCTCGTAATTGTCCATGACCTATTCGACAATTTATTCTGTAACGTCTCAGGAATGACTAGATAAATTTGCACATTGAGTAGAATAGGGAATGACAGTTCTATTACAGGTCCCCTATAAGCGTTATTTTGTCAAACTCCAGTCCCTGGGGTGGAGTGAAAAATTAGGTGTGAATGGTGGCGGACCATCATTTGCCGTCCATGCAAAATCGTTCCTCTTATTGTTAAAAGTATAACGAAAATGAACGTGCAAGAAACTTGAGATAGCAGAGATTATCATTGGATTGGTATGGAATAGTGTATGGATTCCTGAGAGCTAAGCGTACTGAAAAAATATCAGTCATAGCGTGAAGAGAGACAGACATTCTGGGTTGGTGCAAGTGGGCAGGAGAAAGTTCCAGTAGAGTCGTACTTAAGGATGGGACCGTTGTTTAGGTCAACCAGAGATTGAAGCTTGCGTTAAAAGAGAAGTCTCACTATGCAGAATCGTTCATGGACGGGGAACGAAAAATTAGCTGGATAACGAGAGACATGGGCAGGTTCGACACCGGATTTAGAGTTTGCGTAGAACCAGCTCGAACTTTCAAGAAAGACAGAAAGACCGTAACTTGGCATCCGATCACTCTAACGGTTTTACCAAACACCATGAAAACATCGGATTATTTTATGGATTTACATTGATATCTAGGAAACAGTTCAGCGTCAATCTCCTATGATCTCGTTGGTTTGGGAAAGGAACGCTTGCCGGGCATATTGTCTGCCCTGTTCTATGAGCTTTTTCTCGTATTCGCCGATGTCGCTCATCTTGCGGACCTTGGTTCGAATATCATGTTTCATGCTGTGGTTCTTCTGCCAAGATCAGACAGAACTCTTCCTCCGTGATCTTGCTGTCGGCGAGCGCCGTTGATACGTGATCATCAATCGTCTTCAACTTGGCTTTGACTAGAACCCTGATTTCGTCGTGCTTCAGCGTTTTGCG